CCTGCTTCTTGGGCTGCCGCCCTTTCGGTCCTCTCCTGCGTGAGAGCAGACTGGGGGGCCCTGAGCTCAGTAATAAACGGCTTTCCAAATTCCAACCTGGCTGATCTGATTCCTATTCTGAGTGACCCATAACAGTGGTGGGCTCTGAAGAGGTCAAAGAGGAAGAAGACTGGCTAGAGGCACATTTGCTGAGGGCCAGGTTCAAGAAAATGATAAAGTACTCAGCCATATACCCTAGGGATGAACAACAGTGATTAACATTCTAAGTATGTGTCATTCATCTTGGAGTGGACGACCAAACCTCCTTATCCATCCCTTACAGAAAGTCTTTGTCCCTGTGCACTTGCTACCTGATCTGTTCTCCCCTTTGATCCCCATTTAATCATTATTACCTAGCAACTATACTTGTCATCTACTGGTTGACTCTAGTTGTGTCTCACCTCACACCCATCCTATGATTTGCCATGGGATCAGTATTACCTAAGTGACTAGACGTCTAGTCTTACTGATTGACTATAGTTCTGTCCCACCATAAGTCCACATCATATTGTGGCTTGGCTTAATAAAACACCCTTGAGAAGTAGGGTTGGTGGGCAACCCACTTTTGGGGGCCCCCTTCTGTGCCTGTCAGAAGCTTTCTTTTTCTTAATAAAGTACTCATATTCTTTACCTCCTTTCTCCCAGGATTCATTCCTTGATTTTAGGCAACAGGAACTTGGGGATTTTGGATATCTAGCAGCTTGGGAGTTCCTTTCTCCTGTATCAGTGATGTGTTGTATTTCAGGCAACACTTCTTAATCTTGTGTTTGCCTGATTGGTAGGAACTTTTTTCCAGGCTTAGTTTATTTGGAAAGGTAGCCTTTCCTAATCTCTCTTTGCTATTCTAATGATGATTTGGATATAAAGTGATGTGAATGTGGAAAGCATAGCACGGAAAGCTGGAAAGGTTTGGAATAAACAGCCCAGGCACTTTGTTATTTCACGGATGAGTTAAACAGATACATGAAGTTATTTGCCTCTGCTAAGCAAAAGGAATGAAAGACAGATTAAAAATTAAAATTTACTTGGTTAAAATGGTCAAACTGGGAGTCATACCCTTCCTCTGGCAAATTGGAGAATCCGTTCACATGCATGTTAATATTTTAAATGTGACTAAAATTATTTGTCACTTTACAGTGTTGTGGTAAGAACGGGGTGAGGATATTGCAGTGATTCTCAGACTTCCTCATATCGGAAACACTTAGAGGATTTGTTAAAACCCTGGTTGCTGGGCTACAACTCCACAATTTCTTGTTTCCTGGGTGAGGCTTGAGGATTTGCATTGCTAATAAGCT